CATTTTATTTTTAATTATATGTTTTAACTTCAAGAAAGGCAGTTTTAGGTTTAATAAATCAAAGCAAAAAAAAAAATGTTAAGAGAACTTTGCTTAATACTTAAAGCCAGGAACAGGTCAGGATTCTGTTCAAATAGCAGGTACATGGATCTGTCTACAACTCAAGAGAAGACAAAACTCCTTAACTCTGGAAAACAAAGCATAGAAGATCAATAATGTTTCAGTCAAAAGTCATAAAATTCTATTTCAGCAGTTCAAACTCTTTTACTTTATCTTCTGTTGTGGTCTGATCTTTTCATTTAAATTTTGAAAGATAACATTCAACTCTGGACTTGTCTCTACCATTAAGCTGGGCATTTTAACAGGTGCTTTAGAACACTTATTTCTGTGCATTTGACTTTAGTTTTCCTGGGGTAGCACTCCCTTCAGAACTTCTCAGAGAACCAAGCTTCTTTCAGCTTTTGTTTGTCTGAGAATGTTCTTGTCTTCTTTTCCCATATGAAGGATAATCTTGTTGAGTATAGTATTCTTTGTTGAAATTGTTTTTTACTCAACACTTTGAGTATATTTTCCCATTCTTTCCTCGTTTGCATTGTTTCTGATGGGAGGTCCACTGTTAGCCTGATGGGATATTCTTTGTAATTTGACGTTTCTCTCTTGCCAATCTTAGAATCTTGTCTTTGTCTGTGGTTTTGGTTATTCTGGCTAATAATGTATTTTGGAGAAGATCTTCTTGGATTGATCCTATTTGGGATCCTCTGTATTTCTTGGGTCTGTATTTTTGAATGCCTCTCTAGGTTTGGAAAGTTTTCTTCCAGGATTTCATGGAATAGATTATCAATGTCCTTAAGAGTCTCTTCATCTTCTGGGATGCCAATTATCTGGATGTTTGAACATTTAATAGTGCCTAGAATTTCTCATCTACTATTCTTTTTTTTTTTTTTTTGTCAATTTTCTCAGTCTTTGTGGTGGAGTTTACTATTCCAGTCATTCTGTCTTCAACATCTGAGATTCAATTTTCTGTATGATCTAGTCTGCTTTTAATACTTTCAAAGGAGGTTTTGATTTCCTGTATAATAGTCTTCATCTCCAACATTTCCATTTGATTCTTTTTATGGTGTGTATTTCCTCTTTTAGCTCTTACAAAAACTTCCTCATCTCCTGGAACTCATCAGTTTTTTTCTTCTGCTGTTCATTCTCTCTCTTCTCTTCCATCTCTGTTAGCTTTGTCACTATGAATGTTCTAAATTCCTTGTCATTTTCATGAGTTCCATTGTACTGTCTGTGGATAAAGAGGAGTTATTCTCTTCCCTTGAGGGAGAGGTATTTCCTTGGTTTCTCATATTTCTTGTGCCTCGGTGGTGATTTTAGTCAACAGATGGGTTGTTTATTTCGTCCTAATTTCTAGAGGTTCAATCTGAGTGATCAGAGAAGTACAGAAGGAGCAGATCTGCAAACTGTTTGGTGTTCTGTGTTTCTTCCTTTGTGTTGCAGATTCAGTGGGAATTAAAGAATCTGAGGACCCAGGGTGCCTTTTCAGCAGCACATCTTCATGGCTCTTATCCCTGAAAGCACTAGATCTCAGCTCTCATGGCGGACTCAGTCTTCTTCTGGCTTGCCCTTTCTGCTTCTCCAGGGTGCCTTTTTAGCAGAACATCTTCATGGCTCTTATCCCTGAAAGCACTAGATCTCAGCTCTCATGGTGGCCTCTAAACTTTATCATTTTTAACCTAAAGGTTTACTATTGGCTAATATTGTTATAGCTATGCTAACATTATTGTGTAGGACTTGTTTAATGTATTATCCTTATTCCCTTCCTATTTAATTTTTAAAATTTCAACATTGTTACTTTCTTATGTTTTACCTATGGCTCTTGTAAGTGACATATAGCTGAATTTTAAACATCTTTCTGTCTGACAATCTTTATCTCTTAACTAGAAAGTGTGTTCCATTAACATTTATGGTGATTGTTGATATATTTGAGCTTATATTTACCACAATATGTTGTATTTTTTATTTATGTTGCTTTGTGATTTTCTGTCCTCCTTCACTGCTTTCTATTGAGTAGACCAATTTTTTTAAAGAGATTTTTGCTATAGGGTGCGTGCGCTCACCAGAAAGACAGAGAGAGACAGAGAGACAGAAAGTGAGAAATCACTCCCCACCCAGGGGGGATGGCCACACCACAATCACTTCTCGTCCATTCTCCTCTCAGGATCTTGGGCACGCACGCACACATGCCCGGCGTAAGTTTAAGCCACTGGGTTTGGTACTCAAACTGTGGTTGACTACATGGGAGTTCAGCGACATAGCCATTACTCCAACTGCTGGTCCCCATAGACCAGATTTTTTGTTGCTGTTGTTTTTAAAGTTTTTTCTAGTCCTCCAATTTGAATGTCTACTTCCTTGAGTTTTGGTGGTTATCCTTAAAATTATAACAAGCATTTTTGAGCAAAGCAAGAGTAACTAAGCTCTCTATCATCTTCTAGTACATTGAAAGGATTTTAGAATACTTTACTGAACATAAAAGGAATACTTTTTGTATTATTTTCTTAGGTCTATCTTCCACTTAATTAATATTCTCTTCAGCTTTGTCTGTTAGCATTTAATCCATTCTTTAAGCTTCTTAAAATTTTTCAGTTACTTTTTTTCTTAATATTAGAAGTTATATTTGAGGGTCCAGCAGGTAGTATGGTGGTTAAGGTGCTAGACTTCAACATGACCAACTCCATGGTTCAAGTCCTAGACCTGGTGACTTGAAAGTCATTCAGTTATCATGTATGTGCATGCCCAAAATCCCAAGAGGAGAAAGGGATTGTGGTGTTGCCAACCCCACTTGGGGAAGGGGGTGATTTCTCACTTTTCTCTGTGTCTCAGTCTGGCGAACACACACAGTCTATGGCATAAGCCTAAAAAAAAGTAACATATATATATTTTTTAAGAATTATTTTATTTAACTTTATTTACTACTATTATTATTGTTTGTGTAAATTTGACTAGAGAGAGAGACAGAGAGAGAGAAAGTGAGAAAGCAAGCTGCCAGATTCGAGACTCAAACTGTGGTCAGTCATGTGGGAGTTCAGTGTTTTAATCACCATGCCACCTGCCAGCCCCATTGTATATATTTTTTCTAATGATCCGCCTACTTGTTTTCTAGTTCTTAGCTAATGTTTTAAATAAATGAAGTTATTGGGGAGAACAAGTCTTTTTTTGGTTTATACTAATTCTCAATTATGGTGAATTGTTTCTTCATACATTTAACTATGTTTGTGAATTCTTTTTTTTTTTTTTTTTTTTTTTTAGATTTTTCCATAGGGCACATGTTCTCCTTGGAGAGAGGGAAAGTGAGAAATTGCCCCATCCTACATCATAATCTCTACTCCTCCATCCTCCCTTCCAGATTTTGGGCTCTCATGCACACATGACGGGCATGTTGTTCAAGCTGCTGGGCGGGGACTAAAATTGTGAAGTTGGCCACGTGGGATCCAGTGCCTTAACCACCATGTCACCTGTCGATCTAGTGCATTAACTTTTTTTTTTTTTTGGAGAGGTTTTCGCTATAGGGTGCGTACGCTCGCCAGACAGATAGAGAGAGATAGAGGGGTAGAGAGAGAGACACACTCCCCAGGGGGGATGGTCACGCCGCAATCCCTTCTCCTCCATTCTCCTCTTGGGATCTTGGGCACGCATGCACACGTGCCCGGCGTGAGTTATAAGCCACCGGGTTCGGGATGCGAACCGCGGTCGACTATGTGGGAGTCCAGTGACATAGCCATTACGGTAACTGCTGATTCCCTCCAGTGCATTAACTTTTAACTGTGGCAGATAGCATACACTGGAATTCCATACATGTGTAAAGGCAAGATAAAAGTCACAAACTCTTAGGAATCTTGTAGAGTTCAGTCGGAGGGAGACACAGATTTTCTTGTGCTAGGCCATAGTGTGCACTCTTTGCAAGGTTCTGGCATTAGGGAGTGTGAGTGTCTCCGTTCCCACTCCCCACCCTCAGTCTTAGCTCCCACGTGGTCATAACAACATGGCAACAGTGGTTGTAGAGCAGGTAATCCCCTGTCTCTTCACTCCCACTCCAGTGAGGCCCTCACTTCAGCTCCTGGGCTTACTTCCGGTTTACATATCCTCCCTATTTTGTCTACCTTACTTTATTGGGAATTCAGTCATATTTTAAAAGTTATTGTTATTATTATTATTATGTAAACACATTTCTGTATTTTGCACAGGAGTGTGTTCAGCTGATACAGACTTCTTTATAGTGTCAGAAATATGAGGAAGTCTTTATTTTGAAATAAAGCTCCTTGGGGCTGGCAGGTGGCATGGTGGTTGAGGCGGGGTGCTGGACTCCCACATGGCTGACTGTGGTTCAAGTCCTGACCTGGCAGCTTGCTTTTTCACTTCCCCTCCCTCTGCTCTGTCTCCCTCTGGTCAAATTTAAATAAATAAAGTTAAAAAACATAACTCTTAAAGAAAAAAAAAAAGATCCTTGACTCTAAGCCTCATGGAACAACATGAGGTTATAACACCAGGTTATGAAAAGGTACATCCCTAAAAGACATTCATTCATTCATTTTGCCCAGCTTTTTGGATTTTAGGTTTACTCAGTTGCATGTGCTGTCTGTCCTTAAGGAAGCGTGTTCGCAAAAGTATAGGTGCAACTCCAGCAGGATTAAAGACAAGATAACCCTGGATGACTTGACTTCTAGAGTCAGAAATTCCTAAATATGTTGGTTTCCTTTGGAGTCCTAGAGCCATTCTCATAGCTCACACCTATAACAGTGTACAAAGGGAAAGTGCTTTAAAAAGCGTGTCCTGCATAAAGGGTTGTGAAGTAATAAAACCTCACGCAAGTGCTGAAATGATGACTCGCTTTTACAACTCCAGGCTTGCGGAACAACTTCTCCCGCTTCCCCCTCCCCCGCCCGGACTCACTCCATCCCCCCGAGCTAGCAACTCAGAGTTGTTACAACAGCTAATCCTCACGGGACCACTGAAGCCCTGTCTCTCTCTGCTTTCTCCTCTGACCCTCCTCCAATTAATCTGACCGCGTGTAAACCTCGGCGGCTTAGTATTGTGCAATTTTCACGTCTCCCTCGCCCTCCCACCCAGCCCCCTCCCCACAAATTCACGGGAACTCCCGTTACCGCAGTGCCACCGGCATTACTCATTCATCCCCATTCAGGCTTTCCCCAGCATTTATTACGGGCTCTCGCCTTCTGCCTCTCACTCTCACTCTCACGCTCTGCTCAGGCTCAGTTCACCAGAGAGCCTCCTGCCTCGTCCCCTCCCGCCATCGGCGCAAAGAACTTCGTCCCTCCAGCAATGCGTCTCCCTGTGATTGTCTTCTGTGCTCTCTGCTCTGCTGTGTTGGCCGAGAACTCGGACGATTACGATCTCATGTACGTGAATTTGGACAACGAAATAGACAATGGACTCCATCCCACCGAGGACCGTAAGTTCATGTGAACTGTTTCTCTGCTAATCCTAACTACAGATTTCTCTCTTTTTCGTTTAAATAATATACATATACTTTGTGGCCAACAAAATGATAGTTCTGTAAAGGCGAGACGCGCTGGAGGAAAAAGGGAGATTTCAAAAAGTTACTATCTGTAACAGATTCCTAATGGGGTGAACCGTTGGGCATCGCCGCTATCTGACCGTTTTGAGTTACATCAACGGCAGTGTCCAGAGATCAACTTTATGAATGAATGGTTTCTGTGTCATTTTTGAGAAACTCGCACTCCGTTTTGGGGAGGCGTTCTTAAAATGAAAGGGGATGCTGGAGACGGGCTATGACTTGGGACCCCGAGGGAGGGCGGCTTTTACAAAGCACACCATCGCAAGGCCTGGGTGGGCTGGTAACGCGTGTGTTCTGCGCTCTAGCCGTGCCATGCGACTGCCGTCGGGAGCACACCGAGTGGGACAAGCTCTTCATCATGCTGGAGAACTCGCAGATGAGGGGGAGCATGCTGCTGCAGGCCATGGACGACGTCCTCCGGGGTGAGCTGCAGCGGCTGCATGCGGAGCTGGGCCGGCTGGCGGGCAGCCTGGCGAGGCCATGCACCCCGGCTGCCCCAGCAGAGGCCAGACTGGCCCGGGCGCTGGACGAGCTGCTGCAAGCGAGCCGGGACGTCGGGCGCAGGCTGGACCGCCTGGAGAGCGCCGAGGCTCAGCGCCCGGAGGAGGAGGCGGGGCGCGTCCTGGGCTCAGTGCTGGAGGAGCTTCGGCAGACGAGGGCCGATCTGCGCGTTGTGCAAGGCTGGGTGGCCCAACGGAGGCTGCCGGCAGGTAAGGACGCAGGGCAGAGTCGGGACCTCTCGCTGCGGCTTTGTTCTGCGCGTGCTCGTTGCAGGAAGCCAAGTTAGGCAATCTTCTAGAGGAAGTCTCCGTGGGGAGACACAGAGAGCCCTGTATTTCTGCATGCACGGTCACAGAGCTCAAATACACCATGCCAGGCGGGAATCCTAGCTTTGAAACGTATTCTTCTGCATGGAGAACCCCAAAAGATAGATGTGGACGTAATCATCCAAGTCTTGCAATAGACTTCCAGGGCCCCTGACATCTGATTCCTCTAGGCGTTGCAAGAGTTCCATTGGCCAGTTAAAACTGTGACCCCTCTCGCTGCCCAGCTTCCCTCCGTTAGGGATTTCCATTTCTTCTAATTTTATGCTGCCTCTCTGTTTAGGGGAGCTCTGGTTTCCCGCGTTATTTCAGGGCCCAGCTTAACTTTTAGGGACGTTTCCAACTCCTAGCCAGCTCCTCCTCCCCGCCCTTTCTAGCAGGCGACTTGAGGCTGAATCTGATCTCCCGAAGGGTCAGCGGAATTCCTGAGGGGTCTGTGCTGTTAGCGCCAGAGTGCAGGTCCGAGGGTGTGCGGTTTGGTGTCCAACGTGGGACAGGCCGCTGTAGGAGCTTGTCCATGGTCGCGACCCCTACCGCACCCCCACTGATTTAGAGAAATCAGCGCCAAACAAGGGAGAGATTGTTCAAAACCAGATGCAATTTGTCAAAGTCCCACGTGACATTCCAAGAATTTCTAAACACATTTGGGTTCCCCAAATACATATTTTAAAGACGGTTAAAAGAAAGAAATAGAAATGCTGAAGCCGAGGAATACCACTTTGTAAATTCAGATTTCTCAGAAACGATGTGACAATCATTTAATCATGCTGAATTTTACTAAAAGAAAAACAGTGTCCTAGGTAAGAAAATGTAAGTTACACTTTTTTTCTGAGAATCTTAGACACAGAAAACGATTCCAAACGATGCCATCCTTCCCTGTAATATCCAATAAAACAACTCTTATTAAGTAGGGTATTGTATGTGTGTGGGGAGGAGAAGGTTCCTATCCAGCATGATAGCATATTTCATTTAAAGGCAGAGAATTCATACCAGATTGTAGTCTTTCCTACATATTTGCAGACTGTTGATTAGCACAGAGCATATTTCTTTAAATATTAAATAGGGCTTTGAAGGAGAAAAACCATAACATCAAATACACCGTGGAGCCTCAGTAAGTAAGAGGACATGTATAATTATGTGGCCACTTCAATTTCTTGTTTGGCAAATTGTGTAAAAGCATTGTACATAGATAGAATGCCCTTGAAAACCTAGTTTTCATCTTCACCTCTGCATATTAGGGCAGAAGAGGGACGTATTTCTGAATTCTAAAATGTTAATTCTTGTTACAGCCAATAATGCTCTCCCCCACGTGCTTTGATTCCTCCTTCTTTTGGTCTCCTGCCAGCTTGGCTCCTAAGAAAGCCTTAATCATTCTGTGGTCTGCCTTCTGAGAACCTGGTTTGAATTTTGTTTGGTCTTTGATAATATAATCAGAAAAACCTATTAGTTAAAAGCCATATCAGGAGAGAGTTTCTGACATTTTAAAGACGCTATCAAGAGCTTCAATCACTGGTCTCAAAAAGAAGCCTACAGAAAAACCTGCCAAGACGCAGTTCCACTGCATGAACTCCTATGGCTTGTGCAGCCTAGAGGGAAACTGGGTCTCTGAGAAGCAATCAAGAAAGGCTTTGGTATGCAGTGCGGACTGCCTGGGTTTATTTAAACAGGAAATCAGTTAATTAGATTGCAGCAGGCGCCCTCTTGGACACTACTTTACTGAAACTTAACAGAGAATATTTCAAATGCCCATGGATGTAGCAACCTTTTATTCATGATCTTTATCTGACTTAATTAATGCAGCTAGAAAAAAGTGCATCTAGCAATTTCATCTGAAAAAGAGAATCAATTCCTCATTAAAAATTAATTTGAAAAAAAACCTTATAAAATTCAAATTATACAGTAAAAAAATTTACTACCAAAGAGTAACAAGACAAGTTTTGTCTTTAGAGTTGTTATTTTTGTATGATGTTTTCCTTTTTTTTTTTTTTTTTTTTTTGCCATAGGGCCTGTGCACTGCTTACAGGAGAGAGACAGAGATAGGGAGAGTGAGAACTCACTCCTCGGGTGGGTTGGACATCCCACAAGCCTAGCCACTATGTCACCTGCTGGACCCTTCTTCCTTTATTTTTTTAATGACAGAGGGCACATGCACTCCAGAGAGAGACAGAGAAGGAGGAGTTGTGGTCACGCACAGTCCCTTCTCCATTTTTCTATCCTGTCAAATTTTGGGCACACACGTATGTGTACTGGTATGGTTTTCAGGCCACCAGGGACAGAACTGGAGCCGCAATTAGCCATGTGGGACCTGGCTCTCGTAACCATTAGGCTATGGGGCAGGCCCACTTTTATATGATTTTCTGAACCTCACTATTTTCTTTGACTATTAAAAGATAAGGTCCACATCTGCTTAATGTTTTCAGGACAGAGACTGACTTGGAAACATTTACAGGAGTTTAACATAGTTTACCACATTTTACATGTATATGTGGTTCCTGTAAGTTCTGTGTCTTCACCAGCTAGCCTTTAAAGGCTTTGAGAGTGCTCGCTTCAGTAGCACATATACTAAAATTGGAACGATGCAGAGAAGATTGGCATGGACCCTGTGCAAGGATGACATGCAAACTCGTGAAGCGTTCCATATTAAAAAAAAAGGGGGGGAGGGGGACATTAAAAGCTTACTTTTCAATATTTAATAACAACTCTTTGGGCTGTTGTAAAGTGAATATCTAGCTCTAATTTAGTTTTCTTAAACTCTCTCTATATATTTGTATGCGTGTATTTATATATATGCAGAACTTAGCTTTTAAAGGTTTTCTCACCATCATTTCCCAGACAAGTAAAAGGTCTTCATTTTAGCATCTCCAGCTCCCCAACCAGCCATATGGCTTGGAGGTGGACAGACTTAGGAGTTTACTGAACTCACCCCAGGTTTGAAAGTCCCCTACTCTTAAGTGCTCTGTAGCAAAAACATGTTCTCTAACCAGGGTGGGAATAAGTTACTCCTCTTAAAGGTTTTCTATTACTGTTTAAGTAGTATTTCCAAGCATAGGGACAAAGAGTTTTGAAACATTCCCTTTATGTCCCCAGTTATTTCTGAGTCCTACATGTTGCTTACAGACTTGCAAAATATTGGGTTGTCAGGAAAGTCATGATGCAGGAAAGTCATGATGCATTTCTGCATAGAGAAACAGAAAAATATGTCATGACTTTCCTGACCATTTAATATTAGAAGCAGAATGTCCAACTCTTTTGCAGTTAGAGCTAAAGCCTAGAGAGATTGTAGGGCTTATCAAAATATGAACAGCTCATTAGTAGTAAAATACATGGACTTCTAGCCCACCTAGCCAAATCCAGGGGTTCTATTATTAAGAGGCGATGTAGTGAGACCAGCAAGTGGAGTAATCATCAAGTTGCTGGATTCCCACATAGTCAACTGCAGTTTGAGTCCTGGATCCTGTGGCTTAAAAGTCACTTCAGGTGCATGTGTATGCATGCCCAAGGTCCTGAGAGGAGAATGGAAGAGAAGAGATTATGGCATGACCATCCACCCTCCCTGTATGGGGGTGGGGGTGACTTCTCACTTTCTGTCTCTTTGTCTCTCCAGAGATTGTACACAACCTATAGCAAAAATTTCCCCCCAAAAAAGAGGTAATGAAGTATGCTGATTAAGGGTGTGGCTTCTGTTACCAGACTAGCCATGTTTAAATCCCAGTTTCACTACTTATCTGCTCTATCAACACAAAAAAGTTACTTTTGCTTTAATTTTCTCATCTGTAAGGTACAAATCAATAGACTATCTCTTAGTGTTAGTATGAGGATTAAAATGGTATACAAAGCGTTTAGAATTCTAGGGACCAGCAGGTGGCATGGTGGTTGAGGTGCTGGACTCCCACATGGCTGACCATGGTTTAAGTCCCAGTCCTGGAGGCTTGATTTCTCACTTTCTCTCTCTATGTTCAAATTAAAATAATAATAATAATAATAATGATGATGAGAAATAAAATTAATAATAATGATTTTTTAAAAAAGAATGAAATCTAGCACATAGTGAATACACAATAAACATTAGTCATGGTTACTGCATTTCAAAGGTAGTTTTCCAAAAACTCTGCTAAGTTTACAATTATATGAGAACACCTGGTGTATTAAAGTGTGTTCTACAATAACATCACTATTATTAAGTTTTCTTTTTTTTTAAATTTGCATGTTGGTAGTGAAGTGAGATAGGACCATTGATTTTTTTTTTTTTTTGAGAGGTTTTCCCTATAGGGTGCATGTGCTTGCCAGACAGACAGAGAGAGATATAGAGACAGAAAGTGAGAAATCACCCCCCAGGGGGGATGGTCATGCCGCAATCCCTTCTCCTCCATTCTCTTCTCGGGATCTTGGGCACGCACACACACGCGCCCGGCATGAGTTTTAAGTCACTGGGTCCAGGATGTGAACCGTGGTCGACAACGTGGGAGTCCTGTGGCATAGCCATTATGCTAACTGCTGGTTCCCAGGGCCATTGATTTTTCACAGGTGTACTATTCTATGAGCTTGGTGGAGGGAAGAAGGAAATAGGTCAGACTGTAAATTCTCAAAAATTATAGAATCATTGACATTAACTCATAGTGATGCAACAGCATTTAAAAAAAACGGTAACAAAGAAAATCAGCTAATTGGGAGGGAAGGTAGTTTTTCAGCATAGTTTTTGTTTAGTGGGTTTGGACCAATCAGCTCTTTCTTCTATTTCTATGCTTTCTTTCTCTGTTACAGGCTTCATTGGATAAGCCAATCACCTTTCCTTATTGTTTTCTTTGCTCTACAAAGTTCCAACGCGGTCCCTTAATTCAGTGTATGATATTGTATATAGTTTTGAATTGTGCTCATTAAAATGCCTATGTTAAAATAACTAAATGCCAAAATAAGTCTAAATTAATACATTTATTTTTCTCATATTTCTCTTACTCTCTTATTATTCTAGGTTGTGAGATGGCAATTTTATTCCCAATGCGTTCCAAGAAGATTTTTGGAAGCGTGCATCTGGTGAGGCCAATGAAGCTTGAGTCTTTAAGTGCCTGCATTTGGGTCAAAGCCACAGAAGTACTAAACAAAACCATCCTGTTTTCCTATGGCACAAAGAGGAATCCATATGAGATTCAGCTGTACCTCAGCTCTCAGTCCATAGTGTTTGTGGTGGGTGGAGAGGAGAACAAACTGACTGCTGATACTGTGGTTTCTCCGGGGAGGTGGACCCACCTGTGTAGCACCTGGAATTCAGAGAAAGGGCACATGTCTTTGTGGGTAGATGGTGAACTGGTAGCTACCACTGAAAGGATGGCCACAGGTCATGTTGTCCCTGAGGGAGGAATCCTGCAGATTGGCCAAGAAAAGAATGGCTGCTGTGTGGGCGGTGGCTTTGATGAAACACTAGCCTTTTCTGGAAGGCTCACTGGCTTCAATATCTGGGACCATGTTCTCAGCAATGAAGAGATAAGAGAGACAGGAAGCGTGCAGTCTTGTCACATCCGGGGAAACGTTGTTGGGTGGGGAGTCACAGAGATTCAGCCACATGGAGGAGCTCAGTATGTCTCATAAGAACTGTGAAACTCTGGGGCCAGCAGGTAGTGTAGTGGTTAAGGTGCTGGGACTCCTATGTGGTCAACTATGGTTCAAGTCCCAGACCTGGTGGCTTGAAACACACTGGGTTCGTGTGCGTACGTGTCCAAGATCCTGAGAAGAGAATAGAGGGGAAGAGACATCATCCCCCTGGGGGGTTGATGTCTCACTTTCTGTCTCTCTGTTCCTCCGGTAAGCACACATGCCCTACAGCAAAAATCTCTCAAAAAACAAGAATTGTGAAACTCTACTTGAAGCCAAAGAAAGAAACTCACATTTAAATATATGCCAGTTGGGAAAGACTAAAAACCTCAGTGCATAATAAGAACATTTCAGACTAATGAAGGAGAGAGTTGAGATCAATCTTTATTTTTCTTGGCAAAATACTGAATAAACATTTGAAGGGAAAAACATTGGAGAAGGCTTTGGGAGATATTGTTACTAGACTTTATGCTATGGTGCTCTCAGATTAATGCCATGTCTCTGTCAGATAAACTTTCAAATAATTAAAAAGGACTGTATTGTTGAACAGAAGGACAATTGTTTTGCTTTTCTTTGGTTAATTTTGTTTTGGCCAGAGATTAATTCTACATTGGAAAAATAACAAAATAAGATTTGTCGTCTATTTTTCTTTGTTACTGTTATGTATCTTATTACAAAAAATGATGATTAAAAAGCATATTTATACTATACGGTGACTTAACATTAAATGTAGTTTATGTGTTATAATTGGATGTCACTTTTTTGAGAAGATAGCTGTATAAGTTATATTGTAAAATGAGTTTGTATTAATTTTATTAAGACTATTTTTGTAAAGCTCTACTGTAAATAAAATGGTTTATAAAACTAGATCATGTCATTTATTTACAAATTTAAGACATTTTGAAGCAAATCCACACACTTTTCTTTTTTCATCTAAAGTAAGCAATTAGTTTTCAGACTAATCTACTCCGTATATAGCAATAATATTGTTAGAAACAAACTTTAGAGTTGCTTTGGTTTCCTGTTAATCATAACCAAGAAATATGGTCAATTTATCTTTCTGAGTTTTAGGTTTCTTAACTGAAAAATCAAGGCATTGAGGAAATAATGATCTTTAGGTCTCTTCCAATTTGATGTTCCATAAACGTATATAATTTTTTTTTTGGAAGAGCTTTTTGCTATAGGGCACGTGCACTGGCCAGACAGACAGAGAGAGACAGAGAGTTAGAAAGCAAGAAATCATCCCCCGGGGGGATGGCCACGCCACAATCCCTTCTCCTCCATTTTCCTCTTGGGATCTTGGGCACGCACGCACGCACACGCGCCCAGCGTGAGTTTAAGCCACTGGGTCTGGGACTCGAACCGCGGTCAACTATGTGGGAATCCAGCAACATGGCCATTACGCTAACTGCTGGTCCCTGTAATTTTTCATACTGTTTAAAATGAAAAAAAAAAAACCACACACGGATTACCAGAGTTTCCAAGGTACAAGTGGTGTCTGCCAGGGATGGCTGAGGACGGTTATTGGGGAACACTCAGAGTTTGGAAAAGAAAACAGTAACTCCTGCCCTTATAGCATACCCCATTCTCTTAGAAAGCAGAGGATAGTCAAGCCCCTTAACCCTGCAGATAGGGAAATAACTCTCTCATCCTCACTAGTGTCCCCCTCCTATAGATTCTAAAACAAGGGCTGAGAGAAGACTATGACAAAGCTGCTCCTGAAATATGGCAGAGCCACAGTGATAACGTGTCTTAAAGGTAGGGCTGTACAGCCACAGGGGATTTTTCTATTCCTGAGTTCTGAAGAAGAGGGCTGGGGTAATTTTGTAACGAGCTTGATGTCCTTAGGCAAGTACACAAGTCCTCTGGATTTTCTCAGTAGATGAAGGGGGTTGGACTCTTAAGTACCTTGAGTAATCAAATTCTATGAGTCTAGTGAGGTCTAGCCCTGTCTGTATGACTTGAACTCAGCTGGAAGAAGAAAGTTAGGGATACTTTCATTTCTTTTATACATTTCAGCGTGAGTTAGATCTGCTCAAGAAACACCAGGCGATGCAGGCCAAAGTAAACGCAAACATACTCAGACAATTAAATGTAAGGGAACTTTAAATGCTTTATAGTTGTTATATATTGAGGGCAAAGAAGAAACATATAGAAAAAATAAAGTTTGTTTAAAAAAGATAGGTACTCCAGGGACTTCTAGTGGTTCCCTGATGTCCTTTTTTTTTTTCTCTTTTCTTAAATAACAGAATTCTATTCTAGTGGCACTAGAGTGGCCACTAGAATGCGGCCATATGGCCAATCAGTCTATACCTTTTAGTACTACTTGAAGGTCTGCATGGAGAGGTTTTCGCTATAGGGTGCATGTGCTAGCCAGACAGACAGAGACATAGAGACAGAAAGTGAGAAATCACCCCCCAGGGGGGATGGTCATACCACAATCCCTTCTCCTCCACTCTCCTCTCGGGATCTTGGGCACGCACGCACACGCGCCCGGTGTGTTTCAAGCCACCGGGTCCGGGATGTGAACTGCGGTCGACTACGTGGGAGTCCAGCGACATAGCCATTACGCTAACTGCTGGTTCCCACCATGGGACTAAGTTTTGACCAATGTTGAAATACTGTGTGTGAAACTCCTTCTATCTGAAATGTGGCAATGATGGCTAGAATTTCAGTAATCATCTTAGACCATGAGATTCTGTGCAACCACATGAGAGTTTCGGATGATTACAAAAAAAGAGAAAGAGGAAGAGAGAGAGAAAGAGGAAGATAGAAAGCACCTTCTAAGGGAGGATGGCCACACTGATTCTTCTTCCTCTGTATCTTCATCCCATCATGATTTGGTGCACAGGTGCACATGCACCTGGCATGGTTTTCAAGCCACCGGGGCCAAGATTTGAACTGTAGTCAGCCATGTGGCATTTGGCTCCCAATCTGCAGCACTTAATCACTGCCCTATGGGGCTGGCCCCAATTCTCTCTTTTCATTTTTAACAGCTGAACATTGTGTTTAATACTGAAGAAAAGCAAACGTAGCAACAGCATCATAACATAAATTCATGTGCATAAACTAAAATGAAATAATATGTTTATATAAGATGTGATCTGGGTTCAAATAGCATTTATCAAATACAATAAATTATTGTAACTCTGAATTTCAAGGCACATTAAATCTATCAATACTAAGATTTTATGCTAGATATAGGTCAGATTTGTGACAAGACAAAAATACAAATAATAGAGATTGATAGGGATCAACCAAAATAAGAGAACTTAGTAAGTTTATACATATGCAATCTATATATATGGTACAGATATATTTGATAAGAAGAAGAATTCCATTCACAACTTAACAAGAAAAATCAGCAGTTTGGGAATAAGTCCTTATGATTTTTTTCCACATTTTTCTTGACTATTCTGGTTTTTATTTTCTCATTTAAATTTATTACCAGCTTATTTGATTCCAAAATAAAAACATCTTTATAACACTGGGTTTTCTTGTCTAAGAAATAATGTAATTTTTTTCCTTTATTCATCTTTTGTATTTTTCAGGAACATTTAAAAATGTTCTTTACATATATCTTGTCAATTCTTTCTTCTTTAATCCATTAAATATATATATATGTACATATATATACATATATATAGGTTTATTTTTATATATAATATATATAAATTTATATATTTATATATATTATATATATATATATATGTTTATTTAGTTACTTATTCCATGAGTTAGAGAGAC